GCCAGCTATACCGAGAGCTACGACTACAAAGAAGGGCATCACATCATCATCATCATCATCATCATCATCATCATCAGCATCATCATCATCAGCATCATCATCATCATCATCATCATCATCATCATCATCATCATCATCGTCATCATCATCATCATCATCATCATCATCATCGTCCTCATCCTCATCCTCATCCTCATCCTCATCATCATCATCATAATCAATATCAGTATCAGCATCAGCATCAGCAGCAGCAGCAGCATCACCATCATCATGACAGGAGGCGACCTGAACTGCGGCTTCGGTATCAGGGGAGATATAACATGAATGGCATACCACGCTGGCACGGAGAACGTCGGCACAAAGGAAACAAGACACGAGACTCACGTGAGCGACGCGATCCGCAACTTTGTCACAGAGCAACACCTCAGAGGCGTCGAGTTCTTCTGGAACTCGTGCCCCACGTTCTTCCACGGTAGTCATGCAAGCAAGTCCGACGACATCACAGGGCCAATTAAGATGCGAGGATCAGTACGAGAACACGATACACTACAAGGGTTAGGACGTCGTCTCCAACTACAGCCAGGGCCACTGCATGCAGGTCACCTACCGCTGTTTAACAGCATTGGCTTGGACATGGCACTACACAAGCTACGCCCAACTTGCCCGCCAGCGAATCGCAACGCACTGATTAGCGCAGGAACAACTGGGGTATTCAGACCAGAATGTTCAGACCGCCGTGGGGACAGAATGCGACGGATGCAGAGGTGCGATGAATCTAGGATCAACTGGAGCCAGTCACGCGTAAGCTCCAAGACATACGCAAATTCCAACGAAAACACACATTGGAACGCCTGCTGAAACTGATGGACGCAGGGCGGGGGGCACAAGATCACGCTGCAATACACAAACTCAAGCTCATGCTGACCAACACGTGTCGGGGGCCGAGGAAGCGGTACATCTTCACCGCAAGACAAGGAATGCGCAAACGAGATTAGACAATGGACAGAAGAGAAAGAACGGCGCTTCCTCCTTAACGTGAAGATATGGCAAAACAAACAATCGATTGAAACAGAATGGTTAAAACCTGTATGTCTTACCGCGATTCGTACCTGTGGCAGTAGCGCAAGCGAAAACAACGACAACTACGAGGGGCAGAGTCGCTACGTAAGACGAAACGCCAACACGAAGATCGGCACCACCATGAGGAGTGCACGCCGAAAGTCCCTTGCAGCGGATCGGCCCACACTACTACGACGACAAGGACGGTCGCAACAACACGCCATACCAATTCCTTGCTAAGTACCATGTTTCCTTGGCTCGCGCATGGGAGACAGGGTATGTGCCTCTTTCCTTTCTATGCTCGCAGGCACATCCACAGGACGAAGCAAACGGCGCACGTGGCACCAACGAAAGCGCATCCTACAATGATTTGGCGATTATGGCATGAGCTGGTTCGGGCAACTGCATGCAAGACAGACAGAACAGCCCATATGTTCTTGACTATGCGCACGGAAGTCTATCCAGTAGGCGTCGTGAGGGTACCCTGCTTGCCCTTCAGAATAGCTTGTGGAGACTGCGAGATCTCAGGCTACAGCACATACACTCAAACTTCGTCGGCACGAACGCGTTCGCATGCACACAGCGCGAGCACAGTCGGCAGCCACACCAGCAGACACACCACAAGTATACCATCGAGCAGGCGCAATCGACATTCTGCGCAGCCGTGGGGCCGCCATGGAACGTGCTATCGCAGCTGGCGACTTCGTTGGAATGTACACCCCCCCAGGGTGGAAGAGTGGTTCAAGAAGCACACTGAGGCTGGCGACACGTACACGTGGCTCATAAGTACCTGCCCAGTCACAGGGCGCAAGGTGGACCTAGGCATCGGCACTTACATCGACGATATCTCCAGGATGCACATTCACGAGCACGATGCCAACTCCAGGATGATGATGATGATGATGATGATGATGATGATGATGATGATGATAATGATAATGATGATGATGATGATGATGATGATGATGATGATGATGATGATGATGATGATGATGATGATGATGATGAAGAAGCAAACAAACGCGCCAACCATGAAACTCACGCAGCGCCTCGCAGAAACAGAGCATGCTCTGGACGCCGCGGAGACGATCCACGACGTCCACGTCATCGGCAAGGGGGCCTTGCTCAAGGGCTCTGGCCAAGTGCCCCGCGAAATTGCACGTGAGGCCCGAATGCTCGGGCCGATCCTGAGTTTTGATGGAGTGCCCAGGACGGGGCCCCGAATCCGGTCGGCAGCTATGCGTAGAGGGTGGAGGTCGTTTGGCAAGCTGAGGTTCGACAGCAGACCCACTAACGTAAGACGAGTAGTGCTCTTTATGTTCGTACATTCGGCGGGCCCCTCGGGCGCTCACAGCTTACGTGCGCAGCTACAGGTTCACGGACCAGATAGACGGCCTCGTTGCAAACCTGTGACGGGCTTTGTCCAGGGGTGGCGACGGAGGAGGTGGAAGGGAGGATCGGCAACGAGAAAAGCAAAAGAGTGCTGAGAAACTGGAACGTCATGCCGACGGCTGGTGAACTCCGCATCCAGCGCTCGAAGCGGTACCCTGCAATGCCCAGGCGACCGGAGCTGCACACGCCACGTCCTAGCGAGTATCTTCGGCACGGCGGAGGTAGACAACTACGCTGGCAGCCAGAGGATGGATCAAACCTGGAATCCCAGTATGCATCCTACCCCCCCGGGCGGAACACTGCCTCTGGGACCTGGACGAGTTTGCAAAATCGAACCCCGCATCAGAGATCGGGGGCGTCCAGGGGCCCTGGGACACACAAATAAATACAGGATTCCCCATAGTCTCGTACATGTTCTGGGTTTTTGCCTTCCCCCCCACTTCCCATATCTTCCTATCTTTTCTGGGGAATCGACGATTAATTGTGTCTGTGTGTTTCTCTCCCTCCTGGCAAGAGGGGGGCGTCCAAAAGGGGGGGTGCAAATCATGGCCCGAGGCACGTGCGCGGCCCAGGGGGGCGGCTGGGGACGCATCGAACTGAGAAAAGGCGCCATAAAACCTGGGCAGATATCATGGCACCCGCCATTGAAGGGGCCCAGGGACACACACATAAATACACACAAATAAAAGGATTCCCCATATTTTCCCATATTTTCTGGGTTTTTGTCTTCCCCCCCACTTCCCATCTTTTCCCATATTTTCTGGGAGATCGACGATTACTTGTGTCTGTGTGTGTGCTTTTTCTTTTTCCCTCCTGAGCCATGATGTCCACCCCCCTCTAGTCATCACCGCCCTCTTGGCCGCCCCCGAAGAGATCAGCAAGGAGTGGGAAAGCTGGGATAGCCACCACACGAAGAGAGCAGGGCACGACTAGACACCTTCTGATGCAAAGCCACTACACGACGGGGGAAGATCGCGGATCGGGGGTGGAACGCAAGGAGGAGGGCCAAGATGATGGGGAGCTGAAGGAGTACGCGCGCACTCACGAAAACCCAGCAGGAGATAGATGTGGAGCAGTATTCGAGAACATCGAGGTGGCTCGCGGCACACCTACCAGGCACACAAGATGAGGGAGCTGTACAGCGTGCTGGTAAAAGAAGTCGCTTCCCCATGGTATCGAAGGTGTTTCGCTTCCAGGGCCTCTTGCATCGGACACGTCTGGACAATGAACAACAATACCCTATGAAGTGCCCGACCGGATCTGTCAGGTTTCCGCTCGAGTCGAAGTATGACTCAAGCTTCGTGCGCGACGATTGCCACCATAGCACTCCTTGGATCCTCACCTACAGCACGTCCAGCACCACGCATCTGGACCAAAACCTCAAGAAGCGAAACCACTGAAGGGAGGAGGAATGCATGGCGGGCTGGCAGATCCAGCTAGGAAGGCCAGCCTACAAGACGACCAACGCGGACGAGACGACAAGCGCAAGGCGCAGAGGACGCCGTTCGGCAAGGGGACAGGTGGTGGGTCAACAGACGCCTCTAAACAAAGACCTCCGAGAGCAGATGGTCACCGTGCAGAAGATGCCCCTCAACAGCACGCAGATCATCTCGATGATCCAGGGTTGCCTGTGGGACTGGCTGAAGTTCACGATGCCGCACCAAGCGACGAACCAGGGACTGACAACGGGCTAGACATACAACGGACTGGCGACGGAGGAGGTCTGCAGGGACACGGGCTCGCCGCGCGCCTACATTTTCAGCGCGTTTACTCCCGCGCTCGTGTCGGCGCAGGGGGTACGGTCCTCGAGTGGTTCGTGCGCCTGGTGGAGCGCGTGGCCTGTGTACCAAGGGAGCGCTGCAAACGCACCTGCATGTTTACCGTGGAAGGCGCCCGGCCGTGAGCGGCGTGGGCGGGCGCGGCATACCCGCTGACGGACCGCGGTGTCTTGCTGCAGCTGGGCAGGCATGTGCTCCTGAGCTGTTGCGGCAGCACCGCGAGCAGGCCATAGTGGATAGGCGCCGCCGCTTCCCTTCAGCGGCGACAGGACCCTCATTTCCCTTTCTGGCTTCGTCGTCTTCTGAACGACGTCTCTTGTTTGGCCGTGATTTTTCCTCGTTGCGCACTCGTCCCTCTCACCCCGCTGCTGGCGGTTGCGTATGGTCGTCGGAAGGCGCTGCGGGCCAGTCGGCCATGCGTGCCTCTACCACACGTAATTTCATATCGGTCCCGGCCTTTGTGGGCCACTCAGGTCCCGCAGGCGTGCTCTTCACATTCCCGTGCACCAGCAGCGCCTGAACCCTTTCAGTAGATCCAGGAGGTGTCCCACGCGGGAACCCAGCTGCCCAGGCATCGCTCGCTCGCTCGCTCATTTTCTTCCTCATCTTCCTCGTTGTCTTCTCCTTTTTGTTCTCCTCCTCCTCCTCCTCCTCCTCCTCCTCCTCCTCCTCCTCCTCCGCCTCCTCCTCCGCCTCCGACCACAAGCGCTCGGAACCCCAGCTGGGAGGCCCCGGCCCGACGAGGCCCGAGGAGCGGAGCGGCCCGAGCACGGCCGCGCTCGCTCCTGCGAGGACGCCCGCGCCGCGCGGGGGCAGCCGCAGCGCCGGGCGCGCCGCGGGCAGCGGCCGGTACCCGACCTCTCGGGCGCCGGCGGGCGCGGGGGGGGCAGGGGGACCCTGAGATCCGACGCTCCAGAAAAACCGGCGCAGCCACTTCCCCAAGCGCGCGCCACATAATCAACGGCAAGGTCAAGGGGGGAGACCTGCGATCCCATGGGGGAACGATAGGAGGGACCGGCGTAGGGGAGGGAGGGGACATCGACCTGGACTCGGCGATGTATCGCCGATGGATCGGCTATAGGCCCCCGACAGCGAAAGCGCACGCTCCCGACCAGGGATGGGTAATCAGGCCCCTATCAACTGTCACTGGGCGACTGGGTGTCGATGGGATCTCCCCTGAACATATCCCCCCTCAACGTACAATCCGACCGAGGCCAGAAGAGCACTCCTCAAGAACATGAGACCCTCCGCTGGCCAAAACACAGAACATCCCAGGGTACCCTCACTCAGGACTCACACGAGCATCCAACGAACACGAAGAGCACCAGGGTACCCTCCCCGAACCGACCTCGATCTTATACCTCGGTCCGACTGTAGCGATCCCCTCTGGGAAACGGCGGCGCCCGAGGTGACGCAGACCTTCGCCTCGACCTTTTCTCGAGCGGCCTCTGGGCCCCGCGCAACCGGGGAGTTCGCTGGCCTCTCGCGGCCCGCCGACGCAGCGTTTTCGTCGTCGTCGTCGCCGCCGCCGTCGTCGTCGCCGTTGTCGTCGTCGTCGCTGCTGCTGCTGCCGCTGCCGCCGTCGTCGTCGACGTCGCCGCAGGCGGAGGAAGGAGGAGGAGGCGGAGGAGGAGGAGGAGGCGGACCAGGGTAACCCCAAGACGCATCAGCGATGTTGCAATTACCCCTCCCGCCAAGTCCCACCAGCCCTCTGGGCGCAGGTGGTCTAGAGCGTTTCCTTGTTCAACCTCCTTCCTTTCCCTGCTCGGGAGGTTTACCTCCCCCCCCTCCCTGGGTCTGGACGGGCTCCCCCGCGAGGGGTTAGAGCGTCCAAGATGGCCCTAGATAGCTTCAACAGGGCTTTTGCCAGCCCGAGATGGCCTCCAAGATCACCAAAGATATCTCAAGACGGCTCAAGATAGCCTCCAACACGCATCCAAGAGACCTCAAGACGGCCCCAAGACGGTTTCAAGTGCCCTCCGAGCCATCCAAGGATCCCCCCAAGAGGCCAAATTAGGTTCAAAACCTGCGGAAAAAAACCATGCTGTTTGCCTTTTCGCATTTTCGCTTCCGATAGGCTCTTGAGGCGTCAAGATGGCCCCAAGATGGCCCAACACATCCCCAAGAGAGGCCCGAGAGGGCCTCAAGACGGCCCCAAGAGCGCCCAAGAGAGCCACAAGAGCGGTCCAAGAGGGCACCAAGACGCCCCTTTGGGGCCTCCGAGGGGGGGGGCGTAAATTTACTACCCCCTCTTTTTCAGCGAAGGGGTCCAAGAAAGCCCCAAGATGCCTCTCAGACCCCCCCAAAGAGCCCCAAGAGGGCTCCAAAGACCCTGCAAAGACCCAGCAATGACCCTGCAAACGCACTGCAATATCCAACCTCCTTCCTCCCCTGCTTGGGAGGTTTACCTCCCCCCCTCCCTGAGCGCGACTCCGAGCAGCATCCAAGATGGTCCAAGACGGCTCCAAGAGGGCCCCAGACAGCAAAAAATGGCATCCTACTCCATCTTATCTGTTGTTACTCCTCCTCCTCCTCCTCCTCCTCCTCCTCCTCCTCCTCCTCCTCCTCCTCCTCTCCTCCTCCTCCTCCTCCTCCTCCTCCCTCCTCCTCCTCATCCTCCTCGTCCTCCTCCTCCTCCTCTTCCTCCTCGTCCTCCTCCTATTCCTCCTCCTCCTCCTCCTCCTCCTCCTCCTCCTCCTCCTCCTCCTCCTCCTCCTCCTCCTCCTCCTCCTCTGTTTCTTCCTCTTCCACTTTCTTCTCCTACCCCAAAAATGACCCCAGCAGCAGCAGCACCAGCACCAGCAGGACCACCACAAGCAGCAGCACCAGCAGCAGCAGCAGCAGCAGCACCAGCACCATCAACACGAACAACTGCAGCAACACCAGCAGCAGCAGCAGCATCGACAGCAGCACCAGCACATGATAATGCTCGAAACGCACGAACCCTTCAGATCCAACTCGGTGCAACGGCTAAGACCGACGATGCCCATCGAGATGCGACTCGATTATGCGCAACATTGGCGTCGGATCGTAGATACAACAACCTGCACCAAAGACGAGCACCACAGGGAACACCATGGCGCATCGTGCATATATGTCTTGTCTTAAACGTCACTGCGCGAAGTTATTTGAAGTCCTTGCTTCCTGACACAAAATACTGCCCACCCAATGTTGATCGTTTCCAAAACGGTTGCGCGACCGCGTACTCCCAGGCGCCCCCGATGAACCAACTCACCTGGCATTTGTTTCTAAATGGGCTGATGGGGCACGCAAAGCGTCGATAACTCCCTCTGTATAGGTTCCTACATGAATATACGGAATTGCGGGATTTGGCCGATTAAAAGAGAACCGTATGATAATATTCGAGCGTGCAAAAACACCCTTCCTTGGACATCAACTCAGCGGATCACCGTGACTGTTGCGTCCTGCACTTCTGAACATTGCCAGAGCACCATCCCTGGGGCTCCAACACCGCGAATCGAAATGCCATCAGCCCTCTTGGCATAGGTGGTCTAGGGCGTTTCCTCTTCCAACCCCCTTTCTTCCCCTTCGGGGAGGGGTTCACCCATCCCATACCCCCTCCCCCTGGACCTGGTCGGGGCGTTTCGCGACGCGTTGGGGCGTCGAAGATGGCCCAAGATGGCTCCAAGATGGATCATAGAGGGCCTCTGAGAGCCCAAGGTAACCTCCCAAATGCCTCAAGATAGCGCAAGATCGCTCAAGATGGTTCCCAAGATGTCCCACGAGGCCCCAAAACCGCCCCAAGACGGCTCCAAGTGGCCAGTAAGCTCCCCATGGAGGCCACGAAGAAGCCAAAATCCTCCCCAAAACCTTGGGGAAAATAATGTTGTGTGCTTTCTCGCCTTTTCGTTTCCGATGGCCTTCAGCGGCCTCGACACGCTTCCAAGAGGGCCCATGAGGGCCACAATCCGAAGAGAGCCCTAAGACGGCCGCAAGAGCGCCAAAGCGCGCTGCGCTCCATGATCGCCCCACGAGGGGCCCAAGAAGCGACTGCTGGGGCCCCTGAGGGGGAGAGCAAATCAAAGAGCCCCTTTTTTGTTATCCACGCCTTCCAAGAATAGGGGGCCCTGGGGCACACAAATAAATACACATAAATAACAGGATTCCCCATATTCACCCATATTTTCTTGGGTCTGTCTCCCCCCCACTTCCCATATTTTCTCATATATTCCTGGGGGTCGACGATTACTTGTGTTTGTGCGTTTTTTCCTCCTGAAAGAAGGCCCCAAGAGCGCTCCTAAAACCGCCAAGATCAGCCCAAGAGGGCCCAAAGAGGCGCCCAGAAGGCCCCAATGCGCCTCCAAGAAGCACTTAAGAGACCCTCAAGAGGCCTCACAAGGATCCCCGAAGCACCCGAGGATCACCTCAACTCCCCTGGGCAGCCCTTTGGATGGGCCAGCGTGGATTTTTGTTCGGCACGCGGACTGGCGAGCCAGGTCGAAAGCCGGGCAAAGCTAGGGCGCGCCGCGCCGAAGCAATAGGGAAAAACAGTACGGAACAACGCCCGGCTCAGACGCGGGCAAAGCGTATAACAGGATGTAAGAACTGGCAGACCAGCACGATGACCATGACGAGGACGGAGCCCGAGTGCGCCACTCTTACCCAGGACGGCGGTATCCACGACAAAGAAGCGGCCCAACCATGCCCTCCAGGACCTTGCCGAACACGAAACCCTGGACCCGGAAGGTCTTCACGACATGGAACGGGCAAGCGAGCCAGCAGGAGCAGCGCCACAACGGGAACGCCTCCGAGACGGGCAGGAACGGCGGAGTTAGAGCGACGTCAGGTGCCGTGGAGGTAAGCGGCCTCCAGGTACCGTGTGAAGCGTGCAAACGAACGCCGACACGTAGAAGACAAGCACCCCGAGGAAGAAGCGGAGGACGGTCGGGGGCTGGTGTGAATACACGACGCGTCAACAATTATTGTTCGCCATTGAATTTCTGAGCCGTGCCAAAACACAATTCCTAAGACTTCAACTAGACGAATTGTTACAACGGCGGCAAACGTGTTGAAAAAGAACCGCCCTTCGTCCCTGAGGCTGCTGCGCACTTGTGTAACGAATAAGCGCGGCACTCGAATGAGAACCACAAGTTGGAAGAAAAACGGGGGGGGAGAGGAAACGTTATTCCGTGAACGACTGCAAATTCGTAAAATGAACGCGCGCGGCGCAAAGCGAAAACCACATATTGAAAATGTCAAGCCTTCCACCCGTGAAGTTGTTGCAGAATCCCCACGTTTGGGGATCATGAATCGTGAGGAGGTCTCAAGCGAAACGCCCAGCCCGCCCTACCGACACAATCCGACACGTTTGGGATGCGCCTGAGGGAACTTGTTTACGAGGAAGAGGAAAGGAGGAGGAGGAGGAGGAGGGCACGAAGCTCGCGGAGGAGGAGGAGGAGGAGGAGGAGGAGGAGGACCGAGGGAGGGAGGAAGAAAAGGAGGAGGAGAGAGGAGGGAGGAGGAAAAGAGAGAGAGAGAGGAAGCATCGCTGGAGCATCACTATCAAACGGGTGGCCAAGAGGCGCTGCCGCCCCGATGGCCCCGCGGCTGAAATTCACCACCCGGGCCGAACCAAACAGAAAAACGGCAAACGTGTGTGACCTTTGTATAAAGGCCAATTCGAGGTCGAGCACAAACCATGCCACCGACAATTTAGCCTGCACCCTACTGTCCCAGCGTTCCCTGGGCGACATGGGCTGAGCAGGCCTTCCCAGTCATCACGGGCAGACCTGGAGAATTCAGAATGCACCGATACCGCTACTCCCCAGACCTCTCCCAGGGTGCTCTGCGAGCAGAATTTCGAGGCGTATCCGACGGTGGCGACGAGGGCCTCCGAGGAGGTTCCACAAAGGGGGAAACGAGGAAAAGGTAGAAGTATGGGTACCTGCTGCTCTTCTGAATACCGGGCACACCTGCGGCAAACGTCACGACTTGAGCGCAAACTAACAAGTGTCATACGCTACGGGCCTTGTCAACTCTCCCCTCTCCCGAAATCCACGTCCACCCGTCAGGGACTGCACGGACCAGGGACACGGGCCGCCCGTCCCTTTCGGCCTCGATCCCAAGGGGGGCTGGCTTGGGCGTGGGCGGGCTCGCATCACGCTGCAGACTCGATCTCTCGTCAGTGTGCACGATGGCTAGACCTAGAACTGCTACGTAGACGGCGAATGCGAAAGTATCTGACACCAGCATACATTCCCCAATCAGAGCTGGCCTCTGTAGGGGTCCTAGCGGATTCATATGGTTAGGTGAGCTGGGCCGCCGAATTCGGTGGCCGGGCCGGGTGCCAGGTGCCCCGGTGCCCAGGGGTGCCCGGGTGCCCGAGTGCCCGGTAGCCCTATAGCCCAATAGCCCAATATCCTTATAGCCCTATAGCCCTATAGCCATGTAGCCCTATAGCCCTGTAGCCCTATAGTCCGAATAGCCCTATAGCCCTATAGACCTATGGCCCTACGGCCCTATAACCCTATAGCCCTATAGCCTTATGGCCCTATAGCCCTATAGCCCTATAGCCCTATAGCGCTATAGCCCTACAGCCCTGTAGCCCTTCCTTAAACCCTCCAGCCCAATAGCCCTATAACCGTATAGCCCAATAGCCTTATAGCCCTTATAGCCCTACAGCACTATAGCCCCACAGCCCTATGGCCCTATGGCCCTATAGCCCTATAGCCCTATAGCCCTCTATCCTTATATCCCTATAGCCCTCTAGCCCTATAGCGCTATAGCCCTATAGCCATATGGCCCTATAGCCCTATAGCCCATCCATATAGCCCTGTAGCGCTATAGACCTATAGCCCTCTAGCCCTATAGCCCTTCCTTTAACTCTCTAGCCCAACAGCCCTATAGTCGTATAGCCCAGTAGCCTTATAGCCTTATAGCCTCATAGCCCTATAGCCCTATGGCCCTATGGCCATGTGGCCCTAGAGCCCTATAGCCTTATAGCCCATAGCGCTACAGCCCTATAGCCAAGTAGCCATTCCTTTCACCCTTTAGCCCAAAAGCACTATAGCCGTATAGCCCTATAGCCTTATAGCCCTATAGCCCTATAGCCCTATGGCCCTATGGCCCTCTAGCCCTATAGCCCTATAGCCGTCTGGCCCGATAGCCCTTTTGCCCTGTAGCCCCATAGCCTTCTAGCCCTATAGCCCTATAGCCCTATAGCCCCATAAGCCTATAGCCCTGAAAGAAAAGTGAGACTGTTTCCCGGTATCATATATGTACAGAAGGTGATCTGGGATAACTACACGATGGTGGGTGGTTGTGGTGACCCGCTCACACGTTGGCACATGTATCACCCAACCGACTACATGCCCATCTCGCGCGCCCAATCGCTTCTCGCGGGGCCCCCGTCGCATTGACTTTCACTTCCTCTATATGGTCAGCGCTGGGGCTCAGTCCGCCGAGTTCGGCGATCGCGGCCCAGCAGCGATTACAAAGGCCCACGTGAATGATTCATCGCCTGGTCGTCCTGTGGCCTTTTCGAAGCCACCGACTACGTTCTGGCAGCGTGTGAATACCCGCGCGGGTGGGCACGCCACTCAAAGTGCTTGTAGAACTGCAGGTTGTTCAGCACGAAGAATTGGTTACAACCGCCGTTGGCCAGGGAGCCGCTCTCCTGGTGGCAACGAAGCTCCAGCCCACGCGCCTGACTGGAGCGGAGGCTCTCCAGAGCAGGCCCTCGTTGGTGCTAGTATCGCCCGCCACGAAGCTGATTCACCCGCCCTCGCTCAGCCAGTCGTCGCCGGACGGGAGCTGCCATGGGCTCATCTCGACGACTGGGTCGTTGACCAGTCCACGGCCCCTGCTTCAGCGCTAAGCCACGGGTTGGCCGCTCGGCGTGTGACGCGGTGGCATCCTACCTCCTCTCTGTGGGCCGCCCGCGCTGGACAGACAAGCGCACTGTGTTTGCCCGTGCCAGGCGCGAGCCCACACGCACGGCAACAGCTGTCTGTCGTCACGCCGTTCTCCTGGGGGCGCTGCGGCAGCCACTCGTCAACGATTGTTTTATGCGGCGTTCCGACATTGGGCGGAAAGGAGGGGAGGAGGGGGGGGTCTGGCTCTGGACCTCGACTTAGTGCGACTGTTTGCAACAGTGCGTCCATTGTGGGGGAGACTGCACCTGCTCGAAACAGGCGCCAAAAGCAGCCAAGGTCTACTCCGTGGGGGGGGGAGGGGGGGGATGCGAGGGCCCGCGCCGATCGGCAAAACAGAGAATAAGAAAACAATCACTTCTCCTCCGCACTCTAGTCCTCGATTGGCGTGCCTGCGCCCACCCCCATTCGCACAGCTGTGCATCAGAGCGCGCACGGGCCAAACGAATATCGAGTGCAGGTTGTTCTTGTGGCCCCACTTCTCGAGCCACGCGTTCTGCAGCCCTTGCTCAGCAGCAGTCTTCACCAGGTAGTGCACGTCCTGCAGCGTCGCGTGGCGAAGGTCTCATACTGTAGTATGAATCGCGATCGTGTGCGCAGCCTGGGTCATCATTCATCCCATCCTCTCCATTGTGGCCACCAAAGCTCCTTCAGGTCCTCTCACGACCAGTCACGGGCACCCTGCCGCCGGCGATGCGCATCACCCACGTCTGCGACGCCATCTGCAGGCGGTGCGCCATGGTGTCATTCGTCACCGATTCCTGCCACGCCGATGCCCATGCCGTGATCAACCCGGAATTGACGAGTATCGCTGGGCCCACGTCGTTGCACTGCAAAATGAGAAGCGTGAGCCGCCAGTTAGTGCTGCCTGGCACGGCTGCCGCCACACTCTGTCTCCGCTCGCCCGACGTGGCGTCCGCCAGGCCGACGAGCTCGGCGCCGCAGAGCAGCGAGGGCACTCCGGCGTGCCCTCCGATGTCTTGCGCGGGGCTTCCTGCACGACGGACGCTTGCCAGGCGGCCCCGTCGTGCAGCAAAACTGGGGCCCTTCTTGCTCACAGCCCCCGCTGTCCGAGTCAGCTCTGCTGCCACGCGCCCGAGTACGTTTTATGTCTCACCACCTTCACTCCCATGGTGCTGACCATGGCGTGCAGCGTCTTTTCCAGAGGGGGGGGGAGGCCAGCGTCGCCCGCCGTGTGGCCGTAGCTCCCCCAGTGATGTCTTCATGTCCCGCTGCCGCTCGAGCATGTCTACCACTGCCTGGGTCATGATCGCACGCCAGTACTGCACGAGCTGCGTCACTCCGAACGTGGCCATCGCCAAGTCGTCGAAAGAGAGGCTGGTGTCGGTCCTCGGGAAGGTCATCACCAGCTCGTCCAGTTCCAGGAAGATGACCATCTCGAGGCATACTGGTGCAAGCCTGGGGCGACGGAGGAGGAGGAGGAGGAGGAGGAGGAGGAGGAGGAGAGGGAGGGGGGAGAAGCAAGGATGAAGGAGGAGGAGGCGGAGGAAGGAGGGGGAAGGAGGAGGTATGAGCAGGAGGAGGAGGGAGAAAGAGGAGGAGCGAGGGAGGGAGGAGGGAGGATAGAGGAGGGTGAAGGAGGCAGAGAGGAGCCACCCTCCTCCCCCGCAGGGAGCGACCGTTGCGCGGGCCCACGGGCGCATGTGCTCCATGTCGGCCACCACGGGCGCAGACCACCCCGCCGAGCCATCCGCGGGCCTTTCGCAGGATGGCCGCAAGCGAAACGTCGCCGCAAACCGCATCCTGCCTTCCCTCCGCCTCCTTCCTACGCCACCCTCCTCCCAACGCCCGAGTCCCGACTCCCCGTTCCTCCTCTCTCGTCCGACTCCTACTCCTCCTCATTCGTATCCTCCCTCCTCCGTGTTCCCTCCTCCCTCCACCTCCTCCCCCTCCGCATCATCAGATTCCTCCCTCTCCTCCTCCTTCTCCTCCTCCTCCTCCTCCTCCTCCTCTTCCTCCTCCTCCTTAGCATCATCATCATCATCATCATCATCATCATCATCATCATCATCATCATCATCATCATCATCATCATCATCATCATCATCATCATCATCATCCTCATCCTCATCCTCATCCTCATCCTCATCCTCATCTCATCATCATCATCCTCATCATCCTCATCCTCATCCTCATCATCATCATCATCATCATCATCATCATCATCATCATCATCATCATCATCATCATCACATCATCATCATCATCATCATCATCATCATCATCATCATCATCATCATCATCATTCATCATCATCATCATCATCATCATCATCATCATCATCTCATCATCATCATCATCATCATCATCTCATCATCATCATCATCATCATCATCATCATCATCATCAGCATCATCAGCATCATCATCATCATCTCATCATCATCATCATCATCATCATCATCATCATCATCATCATCATCATCATCATCATTATCATCATCATCATCATCATCATCATCAGCATCATCATCATCATCATCATCATCATCATCATCATCATCATCATCATCATCATCATCAATCATCAATCATCATCATCATCATCATCATCATCATCGTCATCATCATCATCATCATCACCATCACCACCACCACCATCATCATCATCAACAACAACAACAACAACATCATCATCATCATCATCATCATCATCATCATGAGCATCATCATCATCATCATCAGCAGCATCATCATCATCATCATCGTAATCATCATCATCATCATCAGCATCATCATAATCATCAACATCAGCATCATCAACATCAACACCGTCATCAGCATCATCAGCATCAGCAGCATCAGCATCATCATCATGGTCATCATCATCAGCATCATCAGCATCGTCATCATCATCATCATCATCATCAGCAGCAGCATCATCATGAGCATCTTTATCAGCATCATCATCCTCAGCACCAGCAGCACCTGTCGCATCCAGATCGACCTCATACTCAGTAGCATCCTGACCGCAGCCAGCACCCGTATCACCACAAATGCCATCGTCATCGTCATACTCATCGACATAATGATCATCAGCAGCAGCAGCATCATCATCATCGCCATCATCAACAACACCACCATCAGCATCAGCATCATCATTCTTTTTGCCAGCATCATCATCAGCATCAGCAGCAGCAGCCTCATCAGCATCAGCAGCATAATCAGCATCATCAGCATCATCATCAGCATCATCAGCCTCAGCATCATCAATGTCAGCATCACCATCAGAAGCAGCAGCAGTATCATCATCAGCAGAAGCATCATAATCGTCGTCCTCATCTGCATCCTCATCATCAGCATCACCATCATCATCGTAATGAGCAGCATCATCATCAACGTCATCAGCATCATCAGCAGCAGCAGTATGATCAGCATCACCATCATCATCAACATCACCATCAGCATCCTCGCCGTCGTCGTCGTCGACGTCGTGAGCGTCGTCGCCATCACCATCAGCAACATCAGCATGATCATCATCAGCATCGTCATCATCAGCAGCATCATCAGTATCGTCATCATCGTCGTCAGTATCACCATCATCACACTCACCACATCACCATCAGCACCACCATCAACAACACCACCAACACCACCACCACACTAATCATCAACAGCAGCAGTATCATCATCAGCAGCAGAATCATCATCAGTATCATCAGTATCGTCTTTACCATCATGAGCATCATCATCAGCAGCATCACAACAATCACCAGCATCATCATCACCATTACAATCACCAGCACCAGCATCAGCATCATAATCGTCACCATCACACGGGTCATCATCATCATCATCATCATCATCATCGTCATCATCATCATCATCATCATAATCATCATTATCGGAATCATCAGCATCGTCACAATCACCAGCATCATCATCAGCATAATGGTCATCATCGTCATCATCAGCAGCCGCAGCATCGGCAGCATCTTGAGCAACAGCAGAAATATCATGATCAGCAGCACCAATGTGACCACCATATTCAGCCTCATCATCATCAGCATCATCATCATCAGCATCATCATCAAAATCATCAGCATCATAATCGTCATCAGCATCGCCATCAGCACCAGCGCCCGTACCCGCTGCAGCATCAGCATCAGCAACAGCATCAGCATCATCGCAAGTATCATCACAATCAGAATCATCATCAGCAACAGCGGCAATATAGTCATCCGGATCAGCCGCTGCATCCTCACCATATCCTCATCCTCATCGTAATCATCGCCATCATCGTCGTTGACATCATCATCATCGCCGTCATCATCATCAGCATCATCATAATCAGCATCAGCATCATCATGATCCGCATCGTCATCATCATCATCGTCATCATCGTCCTCATCATCATCAGCATCATCAGCATCATCAGCATCATCAGCATCGTCATCATGATGAGCATCATCACAATCACCATCACCATCACCATCACCATTACCACCACCGTAATCAGCAGCATCATCTCCATCAGCATCATCATCAATCGCCGCCACACCATCAACATGAACAGCACCGACATCGCCATCATCAGCAGCAGCATCATCATCATCAACGTCATCGTCAATGTCGTCATCATCATCATCATTAGAAGCATCATCATGATCATCGTGGTCGTCGTCATCATCAGCAGCATCATCGTGAGCATTATCAGCATCATCACCGCCGTTAGCACCATCAGCATCATCACCGTCGTTAGCATCATCATCATCACCATCAGCCGCATTACCAGTGTCAGCATCAGAATCATCAACATGATAATCCTACTCGTCATCGTCATTGTCAACATCATCGACACCATCAGCAACCGCAGCATTGGCAGCATCTCCGTCACCAACAGCAGCGACAGCATCATCAGCAGCATCAGTGGGATCCCCAAATCCACCTGCATCCGCATAATCACCATCACCGTCAGCAACAGCGCCCTTACCCGCTGCAGCAGCGGCATCAGTATCAGAAGTAGCATCATCAGCAACATCACACGTATCATCACAAGGGTCGCCATCATCAGCAGCATTAGCATCATCAGCAGCATCATCCTCATCCTCATCGGTATGATCAGCATCACCATCATCATCAGCAGCATCATCAGCATCAGAAGCATCATCAGAAGCATCATCGTTAGCAGCATCATCGTAAGCATCGTCATCACAATAACCATCATTATCACCATCAACAACGCCGCCACCATAATCATCAGAATCATCATAAGAATCATAATCATCATCAGAAGCAGCAGCATCGTCAGCAGCATCATCATCATCGTCATCATCATCATCACCATCATCATCATCAGCATCGTCATCATCGTCGTCCTCCTCATCGTCGTCATCATCATCGCCATCGTCGTGGTCATCATGAACATCATCATCATCATCATCATCATCATCATCATCATCATCATCATCATCGTCGTCATCATCAGCATCAGCATCGTCGTTATCGTGAGCACCACCATCATCATCATCAGCAGCATCAGCTACAGTAGCAATATTACGGCCCGCATTATTATCATGAGTGGTACTAGTATCAATACTCCTTTTACCACCATCATCATCAGCATCATCATCAGCATCATGATTACCATCGTCATCGGCATCTTCATCGTCATCATCATCATTGCCATCATCAGCAGCCGCCGCGTCGGCAGCAGCTTCTTCACAAACAGTAGCGACATCAACATCAACAGCATCAAAGGGATCATCATGTTAACCCGCATCATCATAATCGCCATCACCATCAGCAACAGCGCTCTTGATCGCTGCAGCATCAGCATCGGCATCAGCATCAGCGTCACCACAAGTATCATCACAAACATCATCAGCAGCATTATCCTCAGCAGCAGCATTATCATCCTAATCCTCACCGGCATCATCATCACCACCACCACCACAATCATGATTATCATCATCAGCAGCATCACCATCATCATCAGAAGCAGCATCATCAATAACGTCAACATCGTCATCGTCATCGTCATCCTCCTCCTCCCTCCATGATCCCCCCGCCCTCATCCCTCTGCCCTCCCTCCCCTACCCTCATGTCCGCCTCCGCCTCCTCCACCTCCTCCTCCTCCTCCTCATCATCATCATCAGCAGCAGCATCATCATCATTACTAGCATCCTCGTCTGGCCGCCCTCGTCCTCCCATTATGAGTACCATGTTATGGGACTGCCACGCCGTGCGTCGCATGGCACTAACAAACATGCGGGTTCCGAAACAGGTAAGGTTCGAACATGGAAAGTCGCTGAAGAACGAGCTCCCCCTTCCCGGTCAAAGACGGGCCTCTCCTGGAACGCGCTCTGACCAGGGCTCCGAAGCGAACCCAGCCATGGCGACGAGAGCCCCTCCCTGGAGGTCCAGACAGGCGAAACACACCGAGAATGCCAACCCTCTGGAGAGCAGCGGCTCCCTGCGCGGCTCTCCAACGGTGTGCTCTGAGCACAACTTCAGCGCGAGTCCAGCCGTGGCGACGAGGGCCCCCTAGGAGGCCCAGAAAGGAGATCGGCGTCGGTATCTGCGTGTGGTTCACCTCCTCTGGTCCTCGACATCGGCCAAAGTAGCTCTCCAGACCCCTCCAAGGGTCCATCCTGACAAGTGGTTCAGCACGCATCGGTGTGCGATTTCCTCGGAGGCCAAAGTACGCCCCTGGGGGGCATAGTAAAGAGAAGCATCGAGACATCCTCCTCCTCCTCCTCCTCCTCCTCCTCCTCCTCCTCCTCCTCCTCCTCTGCTCTTCCCCCGCCGACTCCTACTCCTCCACCATCTTCCTCCCCATCCCTCCTCCTCCTCCCCCTCCTCCTCCTCCACCTCCTCCTCCTCTTCCTCCTCCTCCTCCTCCTCATCATCATCATCGCCATCACCATCACCATCAGCATCATCATCGCCAACACCACAACCGTCGTCATCATCAGTAGCAGCATCATCACTACCACCAACACCACCTCCACCATGATCACCAGCATAAACAACATCAGCATAATCATCAGCAGCAGCATCATCATGAGCATCATGAGCATCATCAGCATCATCAGCATCATCAGCATCATCATCATCAGCATCAGCAGAATCATCGTCGTCGTCATCACCATCATCAGACCACCAGTCATCATCACCATCAGCATCATCAGCATCATCAGCATCATCCTCATAATCAGAATGATCAGCAGCATCGTCGTCGTCAGCATCATCATCAGCAGTATCAGCATCACCATCATCAGCAGCATCATCAGCAGCAACAACATCATCATGATCATCAGCATCGTCATCATCAGCAGCAGCATCATGATCAGCATCGTCATCATCACCACCACCATCAGCAGCATAATCAGCATCATTATAATCATCATCATCATCACCACCACCATCATCATCATCAGCGTCAGCATCATCATCACCATCATCACCACCACCATCATGATCAGCATCAGCATCACATCACCAGCATCATCAGATTCGCCACCATCAGAATCGTCATCCCTCTCCTCCTACCAACGAGAGTCCTGTCAACGACGTAGAGGCTGCAGTAGCCGCAGGTGCCCGCGGGCATCGCCGCGACGCTCTCGAACAGCGCACAGATCGGGCCTTGCGCCCAGTCGACGTCGCCGCCGCCGCCGTCATCGGCGTCACCGTCTTCGTCGTCGTCGTCGCCGTTGTGGCCGCCGTCGTTGTCGACGTCGCCGTCTTGGGCGTCGTCTCTGTCGTCGTAAGCGGTCGTCGTCGCCCCAGGCGTCGTCGTCTCAGTCGTCGTTGGCGTCGTCGCCCGTCGTCGTCGTCTTAGTCGTCGTCGTCGTCGCCGTCGGCATCGTCGTCTTAGTCTTCGTCGTCGTCGTCGCGGTCGACGCCGTCGTCGTCGTCGTCGTCGCGGTCGTCGACAGCCGTCGTCGTCGCCGTCGCTGTCGTCGTCGTCACCGTCGCCTTAGTCGTAACCGTCGTTGTCGCCGTCGTCGGCGGCGTCACCGTCGTCGTCGTCGCCGTCGGCGTCGCCGTATTGGTCGTCGTCGTCGTCACCGTCGGCGTCGTCTTCGGCGTCGGTGTTGTCATCGTCGTCGTCGCGGTCGTCGTCGTCGCCGTCGCCGTCGCCGTTGCAATCGCCGCCGTCGTCGTCATCGTTGTCGTCGTCGTGACGTCGTCGTCGTCGCGGTCGCGTGGTCGTCGTCGTCGCGGTCGTCGTCGTCGTCGCCGTCGTCGCCATCGTCGTCGTCGTCGTCGGCGTCGTCGCCGTCGCCGCCTTCGCCTTCGTCGTCGTCGTCGGCGCCGTCGGCGTCGTCATATTAGTCGTCGTCGTCGGTGTCATGGTCGTCCGTCGTCCGTCCTTCGTGGTCGTCGTCGCCGAAGTCGTCGCAGTCGTCATCGAAGACGTCGTCGTCGCCGTCGTCGTCGACGCCGTCGCCGTCAGCGCCGGCGTCGTCGTCTCTGTCGTCGTAGTCGTCGTCGTCGCCGTCGTCGTCGTCCGTTGCCCGTCCTTCGTCGTATGTCGTCCGTCGTCCGCCGTCGGTCGTCCGTCGTCGTCGCCGTCCATCGTCCTTCGTCGTCGTCGTCGTCCGCGTCGTCATCGTCGCCGTCCGTCGTCCGTCCGTCGTCGTCGTCGCCGTCGTCGTCGACGTCGTCGTCGTCAGTCGTCCTGGCCGTCGTCGTTCTCGTCGTCGTCGTTATCGTCGTCGTCTCCGTCGGCATCGTCGTAGTCGTCACCGACGGCGTCGTTCTCTTAGCCATCGTCGCTCTCGTCGTCGTCGTCGCCGTCGGCGTCGTCGTCAGCGTCGGCGTCGTCGTCGCAGTCGTCGTCGTCGTCACCGTCGCCGTCATCCTTCGTCCGTCCTTCGTCATACGTCGTCAGTCGTCCGTCGTCCGTCGTCGTCGTCGTCCTTCGTCGTCGTCGTCGTCGTGGCCGTTCGTCGTCGTCCGTTGTCGTCGTCGTTGCCCCGTCGCCGTCACCGCAGTCGCCGTCGTCATCTTCACCGTCGGCGTCGTTTTAGCCGTCGTCGTCATCGCCTTAGTCGTCGTCGTCCGTCGACTGCCCTGCGTCGTGCGTTGCCCGTGGTCCGTCGTCGTCGTCCGTCGTCGTCGTCCGTCGTCGTCCGTCGCCCGTTGTCGTCGTCGTCGACGTCGTCGTCGTCGTCGTCGTCAGCGTCGGCGTCGTCGTCTCAGTCGTCGTCGTAGTCGTCGTCGTCGCCGTCGTCGCCGACCGTTGTCCGTCCTTCGTCGTACGTCGTCCGTCGTCCGTCGTCGGTCATCCGTCGTCGTCGCCGTCCGTCGTCGTCCTTCGTCGTCGTCGTCCGCGTCGTCGTCGTCGCCGTTCGTCGTCCTTCCGTCGTCGACGTCGTCGCCGTCGTCGACGTCGTCGTCGTCGTCCGTCGTCCTGGCCGTCGTCGTTCTCGTCGTCGTCCTCGTCGTCGTCGTCCTCGTCCTCATCTTCATCATCGTCGTCGCCCGTCGTCAATGTCGATCGGTCGAGGTTCAGGAGGGCATTGTTGAGTTCGGGGCCCTCGTCGTGATCGTCGTCGTCGTCACCACCGCCACAGTCTTAGTCGTCGTCGTTGTTCGTCCGTCCGCCCGCTCGCCCGTGCGTCCGTCCGTCCGTCGTCGTCGTCGTCGGTTGACGGTCGTCGTCGTCGTCGATCGTTCGAGGATCGAGGGTCGTCGTAATCTGAGCGTTCTTGCCGCCCTGCTCTCGGCCTCTCAGAAGCATGTCGTCGCAACTGCTGGAATTCCCCCGCAAATTATGCCAAAAAACGCACCCAAGAAGAGAGAGATCCAGGGGCTGCTGCTTGACGGCGAGTCATCATCGTGATCGTCGTCGTCGTCCTCTGCCGTCGATCGTTCGAGGATCAAGGTCGTCGCCGTCGCCGTCGTGCTCGTGGTCGTCGTCGTCGTCGTCGGCATCGTCACCGTCGTCGTCGGTCGCCGTCGTGATCGTCGTCGTCGTCGTCGGGATCGTCGACGTTGTCGCCGTCGTTCGTTCGAGGTTCGAAATTTTCTTGGCGCGTGCACTCCGCCTCTCCAGCGGCCTCAGGGAGGCACGACGTCACCACAGCAAGACCTCCCTCGAGACTCTGCGCAAAGCCGCACCCCAGGAGAGATCCAGGGGGTGATCCTCGAGGGGGTCGTCGTCGTCGTCGTAGTCGTCGATCGACGTCGTCGCCGTCCTCCTCCTCAGCGTCGACGTCGTCGCTGTCGCCCCCAGCGTCCTCGTCGTCCTCGTCGTCGTCGTCGCAAGCGGAGGAGGGAGGATGAGAGTAGCAGGAGGAGGAGGCGGACCAGAGTAAAGCCAAGACGCATCCACGTCGTTGGCGGCGTCGGCGTCGGCGTCAGTGTCAGCGACGGCGTCGGCGTCGGCGTCGGCGTCGTCAGTCGTCATGGTCGTCAGCTCGGGCACGAATTGGCGGGACCCCACCCACAGCGGAAACGCAACGTTGCTCTCGGGGATAGGCATAAGACGTGCAGCCAACGATGTGGACGGAGCCGACTGCGAGTACGATCAACTTCGCGTTCACGACGGTACACGCCAAGAGCGCCCCGTGCAATCGCCCAGCCGAGCGTACTTCCAACATGCCTGACGCGACAATATTACATGAACGTCACATGCGTCCGCTGGCCCCCAGCAGAAGTGGCAGCCGAGACGGCTCAGAATGTCACCGAGATGCCACCAGGAACCTCCCCCAAGAGGCCACCAAGAGAGCCTACGGGGCCGTAGAGATTGTTCGAGACACTTCCACACGATCCAAGGACGGTTCCAAGGCTGCTCCCGGGGCCGCCAAGGCAACATCGGAGACGTCCACGATGGTGTCCGTGGGCACCGGAAGCCCCAAATGAGGACAGAACTATTGCCCCAGTTGCTCCCGCAACGGTTGGGGAAACACGCATGCCAGAAGCTTGGCCGAGCTGTTGCCGAAGGTTCGGCCACATGGAAGCTACCCGGGCGTGGGTCGGCGATGACTGGACGGGCACGTCTTCGGTAGCACTGCCATGGAGCCCACATAGCTTCGGAGATGTACAAGAGTATCGTCCTCTTGCTCGTGCGGATTTCCCATATCTCCAACCCCGGTAACTCCAATGATGAGCGGTCTGGCGAATCGTGTGGAGATGGCCAGCATGGGCCATACCGTAGATGACGTTTACCCAACCATAACGTGTCGATGTCAACCATGGAGCTTGCGACCAGAAGCCCTTCGTTGCACCTGCGTTTGAACGTGCCGCTGTCCAGTTTAGCTTCGATGTCCAGAGCTAGCTGCTTGTAATCGTCTTATCAACATCGACCAGCTGGCACTCGAGGATGAGACCCGACAACGCACTGCCATCGCTCTCGGGCTCTCGTGATCACGGCTCTTAGTACTCGCCGTGTCAGGGCCCCTCGCGCACAAAGTCATTCAGGGGAGATGACCACAGCCTCAAGTCCTCCACGCCATTCGAGATAATGACGTGCCCATCAGAAGCTCGATGGACAAAAGGAAGCTTCTGCATTAATTTGCAACAGTGTAACATCGTACTCTCTCCAACAACACGCTCCAAACGATTGTTATACGCGCTCATTTTGCATTGTTGCGACTCGTGCCGCCCCTGCATGACACGAGGATGTGGCCCAAACAGACAAATACCGCCGAAAAAATATGGGCTCGTGGAAAAATAATCGTCGGCATTGAATGCCTGTCCACTGGTGACTCCAGCAATCGAACACGGAGTTATCATCCTGGTCTCGTTTTTCACGCTAATCTTGTAAATGAAAATATCAACGTAAGGCCAAGGATAGTCCGTGGCATGTTGCACATGAAGACCCTGTTTAGCATAGCACTTCAACGCATTCCCTAGGTTACCTCTCGCGTCCGTTCTTTCGCAAACCAACTCCACATCTGAATGGAAAATATTGCCTTCATCTTCAACAAACTGCAAGAACCTGGGCACGGAATCATAGTCAATGAAAGCATCTACATAATCGTCCCAAGGGGTGGGTCCCCCGTTCAAAATGGCGCCCGAAACAGATCGAGAATACAAGTAAAGCTGGGCGCTTGCAGTGGCAGCCATGTGAGCAAACATCTTGAACAAGCAGACGGTGTACGCAGCGTACCGAGTCGTGAAGCCAGTCAACGGATGCCTTCTTCCGATTCTTCCGAACGACCGGAAGTAAGGAAACCTCCGAAAGTGTGCACAGACTTCAGGGCAAAGCTCCTCCACCCATCTGTCGAACATCTCGGAAGCATCGATCGGGTTCGCGAGCAGATCCTCTGGGGAACAGGCAGATCCGGAAACGCGGCTGCCCCGCGGACCTCTCCTGGGGTGCCTGCCGACGATCGGGGATCTTCTGACCCGGGTTAATCCAGACCTGGGTCAGCAGGAAACCACAAACTGCAATGCAGGAAAAAAAACTGCAACGCAAGTCTTCGCAAACCCGGGTCAGCCAGTATGCGCGGCCGCCTCGCGGCCACGAGCGGCTCGCTGACCCGGGTCAGCCAGAGGGGGTCTTCGCAGGATCCTGCAGGATCTGGTGCCCTGGCTGACCCCCGTTAGCATTGATCCCCGTCCCTTGATGTGTGGCAACGATAGGGGGGGGATGGGCTTAGGGGGGATGCATCGACCTAGAATCGGCTATACATCGTCGATAGGTCGGCGATGAGCCTCGTCTGCATTGACCCCCGTCTCAAGGCTCCCGAGACGAGGCTCCCGGGGCGAGTCCGGCCGTGGCGACCAGGGCCCCGCCGACGGGGCGCCAAAGGGGCCGAAACGAGGCAGGGGCCATCGGTCCCGGCATGCCCTCGTTCTCCGCCTCCTCCCCTCCTCTTCTTCGACCTCCTCCTCCTCCTCCTCCTCCTCCTCCTCCTTCATCTGCTCCTTCTCCTCCTTCTCCTCCTCCTTCTCTTCCTCCTCCTCCTCCTCCTCCTCCTCCTCCTCCTCCTCATCCTGCTCCTCTTCATCGTCATATCATCCTCGTTCTCCCCGTCTCCTCGGTAAACTTCCCATCTGCCAGCTCCGCACTGCAGTCGCCGACCGGCTCCCACGCGGGGCTGCGATGGGGGCTCTCGACGGGCGGCGCGGCGGGGCAGCGGCTGCCGCGGAGCGGGAGGGGCCCCAGGTGGTACACGCGGCCGGACGTCCGATAGATCCGCGGAACACCAACGAGGCTCGAGGCCAGGGCTCGAGCTGAACGCCGCATTGCGTGCTTTCCGTCCTGCCCCTGACAGGGATCCTGCAGCTGTTCCAGATACCTGTTCTCAGAAAATCGAGAATGCGTTGCCCGATCAAGAATCGGTCGGGCGACGTTGCCATCCGCTTCCTTACGCTGCCTCCCGTGGCCGCCCGTTGCCTCCCGTTCCCTTCTGTGGGCTCCCATAACCTCACGTGGGCTTCTATTGCCACCCCTATTTCTTCCCCTATCCGTATCCCTGTTCCTATCCCTATGCCTCCATCCCTATCTCTACCATGGTCCCTATCGCACAAATATTGATGCATATATATATGTATATATATGTATATATATATATATACATACATAGTATGAATGTGTATATATACATGTGTATATGTATCCCTATCCCCAGCCCAACACCATCCTGATCACTACCTATAAATCCCTATATCCCTAGATCCCTAGCCCTGTATCCCAATCCCTACACCTACCCCGATCCCGATCCCCCATGCCGTGCCCCCCCCATCGTGGCGACCCATGGCCCATCTAGACCCCCCGTCGTGGTCCCCATTGTGACAGTGCAAAGCTACGCAGGGTCTTCTGCCGAGGGTCATGGTTTTGCTCTGACTCTAAGTGGGACCAGCATCGGAACGAAAGCGGCCCACGCAATCGCCAAAACACCGCTTTGCTCGAGCCCTGCGCTGGGCAAGCACCAGCACCAACACCGGGCCGAGGATCGCGCACAGTGGATGCAGGGACACGCGGGGACGCGCACGGAAGTCCGCCACCGCGCTTGCAGCGCTTGCTTTGAGTGAGCGTGTCGGGCCCTTGCTTTTGTTCGTTTGTGCACCTTGCCAAGCAATCCGCCACCGCGCTTGCAGCGATTGGTGCGTGTCGGGCCGTTGCTGCCATGTTGGCTTCGGCTCTTGCTCATGAACACAATGCGAAGGGCACCTAACAGATCGAGCAAAGCATGCGTTCGTTTGTGTACCAGGTTTCTGCGCCTCTTGCATTCCTGACAAACGATGCCAAGAGTCTGGGTGGGAATCTCCATTAGAGGCCTCCTCGATGGGGTCGGGGGATCGCGCCGCATCGTCTATGCATCTGCGATGCATCAGCGATGTATCGGCGATGCACCGGCGATGAGGCGTCGCCGTGGCCTATGCATCGGCGACGTCGACGGGAAGAAAATCGGGCTCCACATCAAGCCGCATCGGCGATGCGGCGCGATCCTCCGACCCCATCTACTCGAACCCCATCTAGGAGATCTATAATCATTAAACCTGGGGCCCCCTCCCGACCCACTCGCCAGCCCCCACGACGCATCGGGCTAAACATGCGCTCACTTCTTGGACCACGCCCCTGCGTGCTCTTGCCACCCAGGCAGAAAATTGATGGGTCTGACTTCCCACCACCACCACCACCACAAGAAGTTGGAGGGAGAGGGGGTCCTCCTCCTCCTCCTCTTCTTCGTCCTCCTCCTCGTCCTCCACCTCCTTCCCCCCTCCAACTCAGTGGTGGTGCTGGTGGAAAACAAGCCCATCAAAAATGGTGCCAGGGTGAAACACTCAGTGCCCCCGCACTCGCACCAGCCCCCCCCCCCGCTAGGCGCCCGCCCGAGCGCAGTCCCAGACATCTGACGTTGTGGTTTTCTCACGGCGTGGCGCCCCAAAAGTCTGGAACCCGATCCGCGGGACCATTCCGAGCCGTTGTTCGATGGCCCTTGGGCCCCGCGAAGGCCCCCAGAGGCCGAAAGCGGGCAAAAGCCGTCCGTCGTGTCTTTCGCGCGACGGAAGGAGGCCAGTTCTCGGGCCAAAGCTTGGGCCTCCGGCGGCACGCCCAGGACGCTCTCGGCGAGGAGCAGCTGCTGGCAAGCGCCCCGGGGCGAGGAGAGAGCTTGCAAGAACCATCAAAAACTTCCTCATGCCTACCGGCAAAAACGCCAGGGCCGCGCGTCCTGGGGAGAGCCCTCGCCGCCACGGCGGAGCTTTCCTCGAGATTCTGGTCAGGGTTCGTTCGCTCTGGGAAGACTGTTGTTGCCTGCGTGGAGTCTCTCGCCGTTCGGCGTGCGCGGCGGCATGCGCGTCCGCATTTCGACGCCTACGGGACGCACTTCGAAGGCCACGCTGTGTCACCGAATTCCTGGGGGGTCCATCCCGTCGGCTCCTCCTCGTCCCCTTCCTCTTCCTCCTCCTCCTCCTCCTCCTCCTCCCCTTCCGCCTCCTCCTCCTCCTCCTCCTCCTCCTCGCCCTCATCGTCCTCCTCCCCGTCTTGCTCCTCCTCCTTTTCCTCCTCCTCCTCCTCCACGTCCTTGTTCTCGTCCCCCTCCTCCTCCTTTTCCTCCTCCTCTTGAAATACTTACGAGTTTTACTGTCATTAGTAGCATTATTATTATCATCAGTATCATCATCAACCGTATGATTACTATGGCTATTAGTACTACGCATATCCTTATTAATACTACTGTTAGTATTATATTTACTTTTATTAATATTATGTACGATTACTATTATTATGAGTCTTATATCATTCGTATTATTATTATTGATAACATTCTCACTCTGATTACAAGTAATATAACTATGCTTATTATTTGAATTATTCATACGATTTTCATTATTATTAATATTACCCTTCGCCTTATTATTATTATTCCTCCTCCTCCTCCTCTTCCTCCTCCTCCTCTTCCTCCTCCTAATCCTCCTCATCAGCATCATCATCCTCATCCTCATCCTCGGCCTCTTCCTCCTCCTTGTCCGTATCGTCCTCGTCCTCATCCTCCTTATTATTAGTCTTAGTATTAGTGTGACTGTTATTGGTATGTTTAGTAATCTTATTATGAGCAATGTTGCTATTATTCGTAACTTATTAATGATAGCAGCAGTAATAGTATTCGTATTAGAATTAGTATTAGTATTAGTATTAGTATTAGTAGTAGTATTAGTATTAGTATTAGTATTAGTGTGAGTATTAGTATTAGCATTAGTTTTAGTAGTAGCATTAGTATTAATATTAGTATTAGTACTAGTATTAGTAGTAGTATTAGTAGTAGTAGTAGTAGTAGTATTCGTATTAGTATGAGTATTAGTATTAGTAGTAGTAGTAGTAGTAGTAGTAGCATTAGGATTAGTATTAGCATTAGTATTAGCATTAGTACTAGTATTAGTGTTAGTGTTAGTAATAGTATTAGTATTAGTAGTAGTATTAGCAGTAGCATTAGTATTAGTATTAGTATGAGTATCAATATAGAGTATTTGTATTAGTCATAGTATTAGTAGTATTTAGTACTAGTATGAGTATGAGTAATAGTATTAGTAGTAGTAGTACCAGTAGTAGTAGCCGTAGTACTAGCATTCGTATTAGTATCAGTATTAGTAGTAGCAGTGGTATTCGTATTAGTATTAGTATTAGTAGTAGTATGTTAGTATTAGTCTGAATACTAATATGCGTATTAGTATAAGTATCAGTATTAGTATTGCTGTTGTTTAATACTACTAGGATTGGCAGTATTACTAGTATAACAACAAGTACTACTACTACTACTACTACTACTACTACTACTACTGCTGCTGTTGCTGCTGATGCTGCTGCTACTACAACTATCACTACTAGCGTTGTTGTTAATAGCCCTGTGCGCCTTAGTATTATTAGTCATATTACTGATATGGTATGATTCGTGTTCGTCGTATTAATACTAGTATTAGTATTATTGTTGTTCATAATACACGTGGTAGTCAGATTATCCTTGGCAGCACTTCTCTTATTCGCGTTAGCGTTCTTATTCTTATGATGAGTAATACTTGTTACTAACATCCTCATTAATAATAGTAGCATTGTTCCTCTTATGATTCGCCTTCGTATGCTTAGTATTGGTATGTTTCTTAGTAATATGAGCATTCGCTGTCTTACCCGCCTAGTTATTAATAGTATTGGTATCGCGATTGTCTTATTATTCCTACTCTTCTTCGTAGTAGACCTATTCGTAGTAATGCTAGTATTAGTAGTCGCCTTAGCGTTCTGATTAATACTATTCGCATCCTTCGTCGTAGTATAATTCGTCATCTTCATAATATTACGATTCCTCTTCTTATCAGTCTTGATATGCATTATTGTGCGAATCAGTGGTAGTAGTATTACTCCTCGTCCTCATCCTCCTCCTCCTCCTCTTCCTCCTCCCCCCCCCCCTCCCTTTTCCCCCTCCCCCTCCTCCCCCTCCCCCTCCTCTCCTCCTCCTCCTCCTCCTCTTCCTCCTCCTCCTCCTCCCCTTCCTCCTCCTACTCCTCCTCCCCTTCCCCCTCCTCTTCCTCCCATGCTCCTCCTCCTCCTCCTCCTCCTCTTCCTCCTCCTCCTCCTCCTCCTCCTCCTCCTCCTCCCCTTTTCCTCCCCCTCCTCCTCCTCCTCCACCTCCTCCTCATCGTCCTCCTCCTCCTCTTCCTCGTGCGTTTCCTCCTCCTCCTCCCCTTTCCTCCCCCCGTGTCCTCCGCCTCTTCCTCCTCCCCATCCTCCTCTGATTCGCCCCCTTCTTCTTATTATTATCACTAAAACCATGGTTAGTAGTAGCATCATTGTCGTTAGTATCATTAATATTATCATCATTATCATCATTGTTATTGTTATCATAATTAGTATTAGTAGTGGTAGTATTATTACTAGTATTAGTAGTATTACTATTGCAAGTATTAATATTATGAATATTATGATTAGTAGTATTATTATTAGCATTATCAGTAGTATTATTGATAATATTAATATTAATATTAATACTATTTGTATCATTCATAGTACCACGATTATGAATATTATTACTACTAGTATTGTGATTCGTATTAGCATTATTATTACTATTATTATTATTCGTTTGTGTCGTGTCATTGTTCGTAGTAGCATTCGTCCCCGTATTCGTATTATTATGAGTATGATGATTGGTCTGCTGATTATCATTATTCTTCTTGTTCTTGGTATTCTTATTATTTTCGTATTAGTATTATTCTTATCCGTATTAGCGTTATTCTCCTTAGTATTACGAGAGTTATTATTATTATTACCACAATTATCAGCATTAAGAATCGTATTATTGGTAGTAGCATTAGTATGAGTATTCGTCTTATTATTCGTATCATCCACACTAGTACTATTATTAGTATTACAAATTATTACGATTATTATTATTACCCGTCGTATTGCTAATAGTAGTGTTAATAGTATTGTTATCCTTGTTAGCTTATCAGTATTATCATTAGTTCTAGTATTCTTGGTATTAGTAATACCATCAATGTTCGTATTAGTAGTTTTCGCTATAGCGTTCTTATTATTATCAGTACTAGTATTAGTGGTCGCAGTATTATTCTTGTGTTTGAGTAATGATAATAGTCTTCATCATTGTATTATTCATGTGTTCATTATGTTTCTTATTACTATTAGTACTATTGTTCGTATTAATAGCATGGTTATTATTAGTAGTACTGCTGAGCGTGTTAGTACCAGTCGTATTAATATTAGTATGCGTACGATTACTAGGACGATCATGAGTTTCATAATATTACTCTTAGCAATAGCATTATTATTCTTAGTATTCTTACGACTATTCGTAGTCCTTCTCGTGTTCCTCTTCTTCCTCCTCCTGTTCCATCTCCTCCTCCTCTTCCTCCTCATCCTCATCCTCCTCCTCCTCCTCCTCCTCCTCCTCCTCCCCCTCCGCCTCCTCCTCCTCTCTCCTCCTCCTCCACCACCTCCTCCTCCTCTTCTTCTTGTTCCTCATCCTCCTTCCTCTTCCTCCTCCTCCTCCTCCTTGT